GGACTGCAGTTTGCCTTGTCAGAGCCTTCTCCTGGGCTGTGGAACAGCTGTCCCCAGCACGCCTTCGCCACAGATCTCCACCTCTGCTTCGTCACACCCAGTGAGTGAAGCAGGGTATCCCACCAGGCTGGGGTGGGAGGGCTGGGACAGGGGCTGACCTCAGCTTTCCATGGCATGGGAGAGGGGCTTTTGGGCAGCCTTCTGCTGTGAAAGAGGATGCACTGGAAGAGAACTGGTACACACACCAATGTGTGGATGTGGGGCTGCCAGCCCAAGAGAACACCTGCACCTACAGCTCCAACGTGGGCTTGTATGGGCTTGGAACAGGCTGCCCAGAGAAGCTGTGGCTGCCCATCCCTGGGAGTATCCAAGACCAGGTTGGAGGAGCTTGGTGGAACCTGGGATAGTGGAAGGTGTCCCTGCCCATGGCAGTGGGTGGGCCAAGATGAGCTTTAAAGTCCCTTCCAACCCAAACTGTTCTATGATGATTCTGTGATATGAAGGTGGCCACGTATTTCATTTGAGTTGTCTCTGCTCAGGCCAGGCTGAGCCCTGATCTGTCACCCTGTTCTTTTAAAAGTTCTTTTAAAAGTTTTCTATACCTTCTGATGTTTACATATTTCTACTAAAGTTTCTTACGCACTGTCATGTAAATAATAATTGTTTTACATTCTTTGTAGGAAGAGAGAATTGATAGACTGTTAGTTTAACCAGTGTAGTTAGAGAAGTAGTAATTTCATCTTCCAATCCACTATCACTTTTAGAATTCTATATATTGCAAAGTCAGAAATAAAAGTTCCTTCCTTTTACTCTTTTAATCTTAGTGTGCTTGCGTGAGTTATTTCATGTCATAGTGTGACACTGATCAGGATTTCTTTCTGCAGGGTTACATTTGCAGCAATGGCAGGAACCCCCCTGCTCCACGTCTCTCATGGTGGTGGGGGCAGTCAGGGAAACTGCCAGCACACCCTCCAATCTCAGCCCATCTGTGGAAACCAATTCCTGTGTCTCAGTGCTGACCCAGAGTCAGGAAAGCACAGGGGGGTCTCCAGCCTCTGCAAAGACTACACTTGGATCAGTGTGCCAAGATCTGGCAAAATGAGAATTCCTCTTCCACCCTTCTGAGAGGGGCAAGAGTTCGTGTCTCCCTCCTCTCCCAGCATAAGAGACTGCTCTGTCCTGGCCCTTGTGGTGAGATGAGGAACATGCCCCTTCTTCACTCTCCTGGGAGGCTGTCAAAGGAGCCAAGCTGGTGTACAGTGGTAGAAGGCCAGAAGTAAAGACTCACCCGGCAGGAGAGGGCAGAGGAGAATGGGAGGCAGAGGAGGGTGGGATGAAGCCAAGTGTTTTGGAAGGGACACATAGCCAGGAGCTTACTACCAGTCCTGAACTGCACCCAGAAAAAACACATATACTCTTCCCCTAAACTGTTCCATGTGAAACCTGCACCACAAGAGGATGCTGAAAAGTTTGGAGAGGGTGTTGGTGAACTCCTTGGAGGAGGAGTGTTCCTCCAGTGTCTCTGACCTCTACCTGCAAGGCTGATACCCAGCTCTTTGTGCCCAGTTCAAGTGCCCTCTTCCCTTGTAATTGCTCATCCACAGCTGCCTTATCAGGACAGTCCCTGCTCCAGCCCACCCTGCAGGCTGGCACTGGAGTGAGAGGACCTTGAGGATCAGTGGTGGGCACTGGGATTTCAGTGAGGGGAGCAGGAGACAACCTGACCTGGGCTCCTCGTGAGGCCAAGCTGGAGGGCCCCATGAGGAATAGCAGTCTCTGCTGATCCTTGTGGGGTCTGCCAGACAAACCTAAACCCACAAAGCAAACAGCCCTTTGCAGTCCAGAGGACTCTGCTTCCCAACTCTTGCATTTATTCAAAGTACCCAGACCAAACAGTCACTTCCAGAAGCCATAGGGACTACAACTTTTGAAGGAAAAAGTGTTTCTGGGTTTTGGCTGGATTTGTAAGGAAGAGAAGACTTTGCTGCTATGCTCTGTCTCCCTAACCCAAATGCCTTTTTGACCAGTTGAAAAATTTCAGTCAATTCTGACTAGTGGGTTGACGTACAAAGTGCAGTAAAAAGTATTCTGTTGGGTGGGATGATGACCTCAAGTCCCTTTTGTGACCAAAAGAAAAGTTGAGCATGTGCTCAAGTTACCTGTGATGCAGCACAGCAGCATGATTTCAGAGCAGGGGGGAGAGAAAGGTGAAGAGCATGGGAGCAGCAAGGCACAAAGTCATGGGAGAAGTATGATCCCTGACACCAGAGGGTTTCTGACGACCCAAAATGCGCTGTTGTTTCTTGGCAGAGCTTACCATGACATGTGTGGACTCACTGGTGAATGTCTGGGCTCAACAGTCAGAGCAGGAGCAGTCCATCAAAACCTGTCTCCAGGGATTCTTGGTCATCTCTTCTTCATGGATAGGAGACTTCTGAAAACCAGTCTCGAGTGTGTCACCCCCAAAAATATGCCATTCATATCATACAGCGGTGGTAAGTAGGAGGGACTCTGCTTCCAGCACAGTCAGCGGGGCTAGGACCAGGGCTAGGTGACATCTCTACAGGAGAGGGCACATGTGGGCAAAGCACTGGCCTTAAGTGAGGAGGCTCTTGCTTTTGGACCTGTTGCTCAACAGTCAGGAAGCCCCAGGCAGCTACTGGCACTCAGGCTGGAACTGTCCAGAGCTGTGATGTCACAAGGGCTGTAATGGAAGAAAAATAGTGGGAGGCTGAGACAGCCCAACCTGCTGTTGCCCAGAGAAGCTGTGGCTGCCCCACCCCTGAAAGTGTTCCAGGCCAGGTTGGGTGGGGCTTGGAGCAACCTAGGATAGTGGAAGATGTTCCTGTCCATGGCAGGGGATTGGACTAGATGGCCTTTAAAGGTTCCTTTCAACTCAACCCAACCCAACCTGGCCCAATCCAACCCATTCTATGACTCTGTGTGACCTCTTAGGGCCCCCAGTGCTGGGAAAGGTCATGGCTGTAAATGCCTCTTCTATGCCTTTGTTGCCTCATCTTCCTTCCAGGGCTGGGAAATTTCCCTGTTTGTTATGGGATCTCTCCTGCTGCTCTTATTGTTTGTTGGCCTGGCTTTCTATTTCATCAAAAGTTGAAAAACCACCACTGTATCTGCTGTGCATCCCCCACCCTCTCCTTCCCCAGGGCCTCCCCTCTAACTGCTGCAGAGACTGGCTCCTTCACTCAGCTACACTGCCTTCAGACTGTTCAACATGATGCTCTGCATTCTTGCAGCAAAATCCCTTCCTTTTCACAAATCCCCTTTGTTTCTGACAGAGCAGACTGCAGGTTTTGCGGGAGGTTGAGATAACACCAGTAAATCCTGGATGATGCTGGGAATATCAGCAGGTGCAGTGTAAGAGCCATCAGTGGCACTGACAACATGTTGTGGTGGGAGAGTAGAAAGCTGAAGGCATGTGGCACACAACAGATGATGCTCTGGCCACAGGGAAGAGCTCTTCCTTGGAGCAAGATTACCTGGGTGGGAAACACCTTCCACATTATAACATGACACCACATTAAATAATAACTTGGTGTTCCCTAATGTGGTCAGGAGGCAAACAGCAGCTGAACACTCAGGCTGTACATCTGTCTGAAATAAATGTTACAGTGGATGGTTATTTAACAAGCCCAGGTGATTTATTTTTATTAATTTTGGCTGGGTTTTTTTTAGCACTGGATAAAGGGCTGATGTGCAAGAGTTAGAAATGAGGAAAGTTCTTAGAATACATTTGGGGAATAGAAAAGCCAGTATATATATTGGTAGATACATATATATTTTTAAAATAATTTAAGAAATAGCCCAAGTCAGATTTAGGGAAGCTCTTTCAGAAACCAGCATGGTTTTATGTACATGTGCCAGGGAATAGCAGCTGTTCTGCTCCTCTTTTCCTCTGAAACTTTAACAGAGACATTAGGAAACTGTGATTGCTGAGTGCTGGTCCTCCAGCCTCTTCTTTTCAAACCTGAGGTGCAGATTAGCTGCCTTGTGCAAAAGAGCAGAGCAACTGATCATGTGTTTTTCTTCATCTGTTGCTTTTCAGATGTCCACAAAATTACACCAACATCAAAATGAATGACTGCAGGCAGATGGCAGAAGATTTCTAGTTCTCTTGGGCACAGCCCTGGAGCCAGAAATGTGTCTTGGGGGAGCAGAGCGGGTGTCCGGCTCCCTCAAACACTGGGGCTGCTGCACAAACCTGCCACATGCACCTACATCTATGCATACGTGTACAGCTCTGTATGTGTGCCTCTGTACAAACACCTCAATTGGTTATTACCCTTCTTAATTTTGACCTTGGCCTCAAAGAGACCTGAGAAAAAGGCTGGGAAATTCTCAAAGGCACAGGTTGTGCCAAGCGTGGTGCCCATGCAGACAAAAGCCTGCTTGGCTGATGCAGAGGAAGAACACATGCTCTGCCTCCTCTCAGGATTCACTACTGGGTGCTGAGCCAAGGCCACTGCCATCAGACCCTTCCTCCTGATAGACAAGGCCAGTCTCTGGTCCTTCTGGACTCCAGCCTCCCCTGTGCCCTTCTGGTCCAGGCAAGCTCTAGGGAGAGCCCTTGCAACTGGGATCACAACCAGGAGGGTATCCTTCCCAGGGAAATTGGTTAGAGGAGAGCTGAACACCCAGGTAATCAGCTCCTGCCCAGGTACAACTCTTATTGGTATGGTCCTACCCATATCTTGCCAGACAGTGGGCAGCACCAGTACCAGACTCCAGATCTGCTGGGTCTGTGGGGTGAGGAGGATGGAATCTCCTCAGTAAAAGATTGTTTCCTACAAGTCTGATCTATCCTTAAGGGTGCAGGACCTGATACCAAGCTCCAACAACATCGTGTGTGGAGTGCTGGTCTCACCTCATGAGTTTCTGCACCTTGTGCAGTTCCGTGCATGGTGACAGTGACACAGACAGATCCAGCCTGCTCACTGGCCAGGTGAGGGGTAGGGCATATGTGGATACTGATCACACACTGGTTCTGAACCGTGGTGTAGACAGATTTTTACTGAACAAGGTTCTGTGGAGGGGAGGGCAAGATTGATCATCACGGCATTGATTCTCACAAGAAGGAAGCCTCCTGTATCCTTGGAGTCCCACCTCCCTGCTGGGTCCACATTAGCTGCATCTTCTCCTTACAGGCAACTGCCTTCTGCTGAGGTCCATGGGCCCCAGCCAGCTCCAGTGCCAGCCAGGATTAGCAGCACAGGAGGAGCAAAGCCTCAGCCTTCCACTGCCCAGCCTCTTGTGCCAGGCAGCGCCTTCCAGTCAGCAGGTCTGGGAACATGAGGCACCAGGGACCTTATCTGCTGGGTGCTGCATGTAATCCTTGAGCAGCCTCTGAGAGATGGTTGTTCCTCTCGGCTTCCTTAGCACAGCACTGCTGGCACACACAGGCCTTGCAGGAGCTCAGATCAGCTCCATCTTGAACTGGCTGAAGTTTGCCATGGTGGGCGAGGGCTCAGCCATGCTGCTGAAGGGGCCACAGGGCTGGGTGGCTGGCACAGCGCCGTGGCTCACGGTGGAGCTGAGCTGCTGCAGTGTCATCAGCACCTCTTGTTGCAGCCGCTGCTGGTGCTCCTGCTGGCGTTCCAGGCAGCACTGCCGCTCCAGCACCGCATGCAGGGCCTGGCTCAGCTTCTGCACCTCCATCTGTACAGCATCCAGCTTCTCAGCAATGGCAGGGCAGCTGGGAGCAGTGGGGGGCACTGGTCCACCCCAAGCAAGGCTGTGATTTCCTGGACCCACAGAGTTTGGCAAGGCAGTCTGAGTACTGACATCTTTGACCTGGAATAGTGGGAGGCAGGAGAGAAGGGAATGTGAAGTATTATCAGCTGCTCGTTCAATGGCATTTAACAAGAGATTTATTCTGCACTTAGCTACAAGGCTCAGAGAAGAGCTCTCAGAGAAAGGCATCACCTTGCTGAAGACCTCGGGACCTCACCATGAACTGTACTTCAGTCCCACCCAGCCCCTAGGCTGTTGCTCCACAGGAGCCCCTGGTGCACCATGTTGTTAGCACATGCTGACCCATCCTGGGTGAGCGCTGCTGAATGGCAGTGGGGCTGCCCATGCTGATGCCAGGCTTGTGTTTGCTCTCTGCAGGGACAGAAACAACATACCCTGGATTTTGCTTTATAGCCTTGGGTGGCTGGAAGAACCTCCTGAGATGGTATTGACACCAAGTCTTAAAAAGAGGTTTGTGAGCAGCTGGTTGGAGGCCAAGCCTGGCGTGACTGGCATCTCCATGGCCAGCAGCGAGTGCTGGCTGGAGGTGGGGGGGCGCATGGCCTCACCCCCACGTGGGAAGAGGGGCTTCCCAGATATATTTGCCAAGTGCCAGGGTTAGCATTGCTGGGGAGTGCAGCTAGCAGAGGTTGGGGGCACTCTGGGAGCCTTTCACCCCCAGAAGCCTGCCCCACCACATGGTGTAGATGCAGCAGGGTTCTGTGCAGGGCTGGCCAGATGGCAGCAGCTCCTGGCTGGAGCACATGGACTCTCCCATCCTGCCATCCTACCTTTTTCTGCAGGAGGATAGCCCTGTCCACTGTCTTCTTTTTCACCATCAGGGCTGAGTTCTGAGTGGAGGGTGTTACCAGCTGCCCTCGGCTGGACAGTGACTGGGGCAGGGGGGCAAGAGCCCCCAGAGCAGTCCCTGAAGCCAGGGCTGTGCCTGTGGAGCTATCATCACCTGCAACAATAGAGAGAGAAACACCTCAAAAGGAGGCCCTTGAGGGGTCTCCAGTGGGGAATGGGGCCCTTTCATGAGCCCAGCAGTGCCAAGGAAGTGGCCACGGTAAACCCCAGTGGGGCCAGGACTTACCATTCGCCAGCTCCATAGCCAAAGTGTCCCCAAGCTGCCCACCGTCCTTGCAGAGTGAGGCCACACTGACAATCTGGATGCCTTCCTTGGTGTCCTGGCTGCCATCACAGCAGGGTGCCCGGCTGCCCATAGGATCCCCAGCGGGCAGTGCAGGGTGCCGGGTGCCCAGCCTGGGGGGCTCAGCCTCATGCCCCTGCAGTGGGGGCCAGGGCTGGTCCCCATCCCAGCCAGCTGCTGCTGACCCCGGTTCCACACTTTTCCTCTTGAGGAAGAGGTACACGGCCTGTGGCGTCACCCGGATGTCATCCAGCTCCAGCACCTTCTTGATCTTGCGGAAGCTCAGCCCAGCCCTGCGCAGCTCCACGATCCTCCTCTTGGCATGGTCATCCAGCCGGCCCATTGCTGCCAGAACTCCTCCTGCGCCCAGCACCTACATCCCTGGAGTGTGTCTGTGGTGGGGATGCTGGCACCCCCCAGGCAGCTCTATGCCCCGTGATGGTGCTCAGGCTCAGCTAGTGCCTTGCTGCCAGGCTGCTGGCTCTTGCTCTGTGTCCATGTGGTGCCATCCCCAGCAGTGACACGGTTCCCAGGTGGAATGGGTGAAGGATGTGGCTCTTCCCACCAGAGTGAATATGGACAGCCCTTGAGCACGTGGAGCCCCTTTAGAGAGAGGGATCCAGCTTGGTCCCCCAGTCTGCCAAGGGCACAGAGGATGGTGATGGGCTTGGCTCTGCCCAGTGTCCTAAACTGGACATCAATCCCACCCTACCAGCAGCACAGTGAGGAATCAGAAGCAGTCAGGATCTCAAGCAGCAACTCAATGTCTCAGGAAGCCTGGAGAGAGTCCTGGCAAGTGACAGTTCATCGCACAAGGCTGGCAGGACCCCATTGTGTTTCCCTGGTGGCCCAGAAGGTCACAGCAAGCAGAACTGTAGAAAATCCATGTGCGAACTGCTGGTGCTGCAGAGCCCGTCCTTGGGTCTGGAGACAACACTGTCCTGTACCTTTGGGAGAAGCAAATGCAACCACTGATACACTCATAAAGAAGGCACAACTATAATATAAGCACTTTCTGTGCTTCCCCTCTCACACCAGGTACATGCCTATACCACAGAGGAATATACCTATATATGTCTATACATGCCACATGTATGTGTCTAAACAACTATGGTGGAGAATATTTTTCTACCAAATTCCTTAATCTGTAGGCATTTCTTGGGCCCTCAGCACTACAACCACTCCCTAAAGGACATACGTTTAGGTTTCAGTTCACTAAAACCAGAATCTTCTAAGAATTCCCAGAACGCAGCAAAACACTTCTGATTAAAGATTACCTCAAGTGGCTGCTGCCAAGCAGATGTGATATAAGAATCTTTTCCAAACCACACTTCCCAAGGTACACATGGATCTTAAAAAAGACAGTAATGTTTTATGTTGGGCAAGAAAGCACAGAGACTATTGGACATCAGCCTCAGGGAGAAATGGAGCCACATAATTTGATAGAGTGCCCCTCTGCATCTTACTTGTTCTATGGCAAGAGGAAGACACATTAGTTCCAGAGATGTAGGCTCTACTTTGATCTAGCTCTGTTTATGTCTAGAGGCCACCCCATGCCCTGCTTGTGTGCATTATGGACCTTGTAGATAAGAGCTGAGGAAGGGGGTATTGGAAAACAGACATCCTTGGATGCAGACAGTACAACTGCAGAGCAAGAACAAAAGGTCAGAAATTCTCAACCTACTCCACATCAAAAGATGCTCCAAGGAGACCACCACCTTAAAGCTGCAAGTATGAGAAGCTTAAGCCCTGGAAATATACTCTGTCTCCAGTGTCTCCAGACACAGCCAGAGGACACTGGAGTATCTGAGCAGCTGGTGACAGAAACATATCATTTACATAAATGTCAGGAAAGCCAACAGCCACAGCTGCAGCCTTCACCCAGCCTTCACAGGGAAGATGAGGAGACCACCTTGGAGGAGCACCAACTCCACACTACATCTCCTCCAGTTTCCTCTCCACTAAAAGTGTTGCTCTCTGTATACCATTCCCATGTCCCAAATCCCTCCTTCATCACATGCTCATCCCCTTCAGCCCTTCTCCAGCCTTTGACTGAGATCCTACCACCCTACCCTGCTTTCCTGGGCTTGGGAAAAGTTCACGGGAGGCACAGACCATCCCTGCCTCACTAACCCCACATAAACTCAGCATTTCCAATTCACAGTGCTCCCTCAGAACCCTCCATTTGTTGGAGGAGCAGCAGGATGAGAAGTTTGGCCAGGATGGCTTCATGGCTATGGACAGCAGCTCCATAGAGATACCATCAATGCTCAAGGCTTCACTCAATCTCCTTATCCTTCAAAAACAGCACTTGCCTCTTGCAGCAGGGCTTTTAAAAATATCTATTTATTGATCAGAGGTAGACCAAGACCTGAAAAGCCATTTCAGAGAAGATACTGCAAAGCAGGCTGGGAGTCAGAATCCAGCAGGTGAGGAGATGCAGGTATTAAGTGCAGGTCAAAAAACCATCTCCAACCCTGCTCACTTACACCTTGAGGGTGAACAAAGTGCACAACAGCTACTCCACCCCTGTCAGGTAGGGGAAAAGGGTTACCAGTGAAAGCAATATGGGTCTCTCCATAAAATACAGTATTCCAGCAACTTCCGCCAAGATCACAGAAATCAGCTAGGTTGGAAAAGACCTCTGAGTGCAACCTTTGATCAACACCTTGTCAATTAGACCATGGTACTGAGTGCCACATCCAGTCCTTTCTTAAACACCTCCAGGGATGGTGACTTCATCACGTGCCTGAGCAGCCCATTCCAATGCCTGATAACCCTTCCCGTGAAGAAATTTTTCCTCATGTCCAACCCGACTCCTCCCCTAGCTCAGCCTGAAGCTATGCCCTTGTCCTGTCACTAGTTCACTGAGAGAAAAAGCCTTTCAGGTAGTTGTAGAGAGTGACAAGGTTACCCCTAGACTCCTTATCTCCAGGTTAAACAACCCCAGCTCCCTCAGGCATTCTTCATAAGATTACCCTTTAAACCCTTCCCCAGCTTCACTGCCATTCCCTGGACTCACTCCAGCATCTCATTATCTCTCCTGATTTGAGGAATCCAGAAGGCTTTGGGTGGGAAGGGACCTTAAAGCTCATCTTGTTCCACTGCCCTGGCATGGGCAGGGACACCTTCACTATCCCAGGTTGATCCAAGCGCCATCCAACCTGGCTTTGAACACTTCCAGGGGCAGCCACAGCTTCTCTGGACAGCCTGTGCCAGGGCCTCACCACCCTCACAGGGAACTTACTTCCTAATATCTCATCTAAACCTACTCTCTAACAGTTTGAAGCCACTCTCCTTTGTCCTTTCCCTAGATGCCCTTGTAGAAAGTATCTCTTATAAGCTTATCCTTATAAGCTCCTTCAACTACTGGAAGGCCAACTCACAAGTCCCACAGTCAGCCCTTGCAACGGCCTGGCCTGGCCCCATCTCTACTTAAAACTTTATTTATCCAGGTCTTGCTGCAAACTCACAGTTTTCCTGTACTAAATGTGCTCCCCAATTCCACACTGAGTCCATCACCTTCTCCTCCTCCTCCCTCTCCAGAGGGTATTTTCCCCAGGGAGCTGCAACCTGTGCTGTGCACACACATTATCAACTTACACATTCACAAAAGAGTGAGATCTTTACACTCACCTGGCCCTCAAGGTGTTTGTTACTCTCCAACAATTTTTGCACAAGGAAAACCAAAAATCAATTCAAGGAGAGGGAAAGATTCAAGGATTTTCCTAGACCTGTGACTGATGAGGTTCCCTTTGTTTTCCAGAATCAGGCCAAGAGTGACATGGTTCCTCTAATTGTTTCTTACACCACTCGAGAGAAGTTAATTGGTGTTTTTTCAGGAGGATAGGTAAAGGGAGCACATCTGTGTAAGAAAATTCACAGCAATTGTGTGAGCTCACCCTCTGCCTCTAACACTTTCTGTAGATATCACAAACACAGAGAGGGTTCATCTCCTCCAGAAAATCCTGAAACAGTCTCATCTCAACTGATTCAATCTTTGCTATTTCTAAAATATAGCAGCACCGCAAAGTTGGCTTGGCTGGCATTTTGATACAAAGACCAGGTGCTGTCTTTGTATTTGTGGCAATAAAAGTTCCCTGTTTTGAAATCCTGCTTGCCTCCGCCTCCCCAGCTGTCACGCTGTGTTCCAGCCACAGCTGCAAGTCCTTTGGCAAATCCCACATTCTGCAGCCACAGATTAATCCCCTGCAAGCTGCAATGGCTTCTCATGGTATGGAAGTGTCTTCCCCCCCCACCCCTTGCATTTTGCAGTGGGATGAGGATCCCGGTGGGGGATGTGGTGACTGGATCACTCAGTTTACTTATTTCCAATCAGAGAGGGCTTTCATGCAGCACCACAGGCTACAAGTTTTTCCCTTTAGTGGGTTGGCTTCTGAGACCTTACAGAATCAGACGGACATACACATTTGCCTTGTTACACAACCACACCTGCAACAGGAATTTTACTCCAGCCTGCCAATTTAGGCGTCAGTCCAAATTTCAGATTAGCCACCCTTTCTTCAGCTGCTGCTCAATGCTTGCAATGCCTGAAGTTTTATATACTTAGTTGTAGCTGAGAAACGTCCTTTACCCCAGTATTACTGCTGATAATGCTCTATTCCATAACTCTGCATGCAGCTATAGCCACAGAAACACAGTCTAGAGCCTGGAGCAGCCTTCTGATTACCAGGACTGTTTCATTAGTTCCCATACGCTCTGGCCCAGATAATATTACATACAAAATGAAACAGCCTCAAGAGACGAGGAGAAAGAAGACAGCATGCTTCAGACTTCCTTTCAGAGCAGAGTGTATTTAAGGTCTAAAAAAGAGGAAGAACATGAATTCAGGCTTCCTACAACTCAAATGATGTAACCACTAGCCTTAAGCCAAGCAGGCTCTTCCTCTGTACAACTTGTTCCTGTGCTTGTGCAAGCCCCGATTCCAGGAGGTGAACCTGAGAGAGGACCTCCCCAGTGTCTATCCTGCAAGTCCTTGGGGTAGAGCTCCCTCACCTGCCTGCACTCACATCCACCCCAGCCACTGTCACCTGTCTCTCCCACAGTTCTTCTGAAGCCCTGATTACCTCTCTTTGAATGCCAAATTCCCCAAGAGTGAAACATTAGTTGTGTGACCATGGAGCTGGCTCAAGTCTGGGAAGATTAACTTCTCCCTTTTGTCTCACAGCTGCTCTTGGACACAGGCAGTTTTTATCCTTGTGAGGTACAAGCAAAGCTGCTTCTAGAATTCATGCTGGGGTGAAGCAAGGAAGAGTTAATCCTTCAACAGTCATGGCACAGGTCGCTGTGCTACCCTGGGGCTGTGTTTTCTCAATGGCTGTTTCAGCTGCAACACAGCACACCCATGGCCAGCCTGGCCCAGAGATGGAATAGCCTTGGAGACATGGAGGCATGTTTGTACAGATGGTCTTAATCAGAGCAACAAGCT